TTGGAGGTTCGAGATGAACAGATGTTCAGAAATTGGGGCTGGGCCCGGCGCTGGGTGCGACCGCGCTGGATTCGCCGCGGCGCCGGCCGAGGCGCAGCGTTGGGGGCCGCGGCTGGGGTGGCGGCGGCTATTACCATCGTGATCGCGGCGGCGATGCGGTGGCCCGGCACGCGCTGGGCGGGATCGTCGGTCTGGGCGTGGGCGCGGCGATCGCGAGCAGCAACCGCCCGCGCTGCGTCGATCGCGGCTATTATTACGACCGTGGCTATGATCCCCTATTACGCCGCCGCCCCGCCGGTGGTCTATCAGTATCGCAGCTATGCGCCGCGCCGTTGAACGACTGGCGCTGGGACCTCATTGGGGCCGCAACGTGCCAGTTCAGGTCTGTAACTAAAGGCCCGCGGCGGGCGGGGGAGCGATCCTGACGCCGCTTTTTCAAGGCTTGCTGCTTGGCAGCGCCCCCGAGTTTATGTTAAGGCCGGAGCATGACCGATACCGTTCCCGATCGCCTGTCCACCAACCCGGACAGCCCCTATTTCGACCAAACGACCTCCTATCGCGGGGGTGGGCATCCCGCTTCAAATTTACTGAGCGCCGTGACGTCGAGGAATATTGCATTTCCGAAGGCTGGATCCGCGTCGCGCTGGGCAAGAAGGTCGACCGCCATGGCCGCCTGCTGGACCCTGAAGCTGACCGGTGAGGTCGAGGCGTGGATCGAGAATCCGGGCGCAGGGCATCACACCGCCGAAGGTTCGAAGAGGCCGAGCCTAACTATTTGGACCACCGGCGAAAGCCGGGGTCCAGTTGCTGGGCGATGAGAGGGTGGGTGCTTTTGCCTCCCGCGCTGCGAGTGGCGCGCCACCGGTTTGGTGGCACCAGCCCCCGGCCTTTGCCGGGTCGAAAGGGATCAGAGGCGGGCGCGTACCCAACCTCCGTTCAGGCTGAGCGAAGTCGAAGCCGACGGGAGAACCTCTCACCGCACTTCAACTTCGCTCTGCGCGAACGGCGGAGACGGTTTACGCCGCCTCCATCGCCTCGCCCGCTTCCATCCAGCGCATTTCCGCATCGGCAAGCTTGTCGACCACCTCGGCACGGCGCTTGTTCAGCCGCCCATCGACAGTTTTGCATGGCGGGTTCGGCCGCCGCCGGTCGTTCATCGCCTTTGTCCAGCGCATCGCGTTCGCAGCCGCTTGGCCATCTCGTCCTCGATACCGCGCAGCGTCTTCTTCATCGCGTTGAAGCGCTCGCGCTGCTCCGCCGAGGCCTTCTTGCTCGCCGCCCGGTCCGCCTTGGAGGCACCATCGCCGCCCGCATCGCCCCTTGAGGACGAAGGCGATGTAATCGTCCAGCGACCTGTCGAACTCCCTTCGCGGTGCCGTTGTCGACCAGCACCAGCCGGTCGGCGGTCATTCCCAGCATGTGGCGGTCATGGCTGACCAGCACGACCGTGCCCTTGTACATGTTGAGGGCTCGACCAGCGCCTCGCGCGCATCGACGTCGAGGTAATTCGTCGGTTCGTCGAGGATCAGCATATGCGGCGCGTCGCGGGTGATCAGCGCCAGCGCCAGTGGGCACGCTCGCCGCCTGACAGCTTGCTGACCTGGTCGTCGCCTTTGTCGCCCGAAAGCCGAACTGCCGAGCTGCACGCATTCGCCGCTGGGTCGCGCGCCGAATCCGCGTGGCGCTCGAGCGGGTGTCGCCGAAGTCGAGTTCCCTTGACCTGCACCGCATCTTGCCGGACGCGTCTATGCGCCTTCCATCGGCGCTTTCACAGCGGCGAGCAGGCGGGCGTCATATGCTCGAAGAGCGCGATCCGGTCGTCGGTGATGCGGTTCGAGTTCCTGTCTGACGGACGCTCGCCAGATTGCGAAGCGGCGGGCGCAGCTGGTCGGGATCGGGACGAAGGACAGCGACGGGTCGTTGCCATCTCCGCGATCGGCTGCCTTCGGGATACGTCTTTGGCACGGCTCGGCGCCTGCTTGCGCGGCGAGCAGTTGCGCGATATAGTCCTGCAGCTGGCGCGCTGCGCCTCCCGATTTGCCTTGGCGGCGGCCAATTGCGCCATCCGGCTCGGCACGCTGGCGCTCGAACGAATTTGCGCTGCCAGAGCGTCACTGCCATTCTGCAGGTGCAGGATGTGGTCGACGACATTGTTCAGAAAGTCGCGCTCGTGGCTGACCAGCAGGATCGTCGCGCGATAGGATTTTGAGGAAATCCTCCAGCCACATCACCGCTTCGAGGTCGAGGTGGGTTCGGAGGGCTCGTCGAGCAGCAGCACGTCCGGTGCGGAAAAAGAGCAAGGCGGCGAGGGCCACGCGCATCTTCCACCTGCCCGAATAGTTGGACAGCGGCCGCGCCTGCATCGCCTCGTCAGCCCAAGCCCCGGAGGATGCTGGAGGCGCGGGCGGGGTAGTATAGGCGCCGATCGCGATCAGCCGCTCGTAAATGTCGCCCAGCTTTTCCGGATCGTTCTCGGTCTCACAACGGCTCCATCAACTCGGCGCGTTCGACATCGGCGGCCAGCACCGTGTCGAAGGGGTGGCGGTGCTGTCGGGGGCTTCGCGCGATATAGCCGAGGCGCGCGCCTTTCGGCATTTCGCACGCGCCGTCATCGGCCTCGAGCTGGCCCGCGATCACGCGGACGAGCGTCGACTTGCCCGCACCGTTACGACCGATCAGGCCGACCCGGCTGCCGGGGAAGCGCGGCGGATGCGCCGTCGAGGATCGTGCGGCCGCCTAGGCGCACGGTGATGCCATTCAGGATTGAGCATGGCGCGGCGCCTGCAAATTCCGCGCGAAAAGGGGAGGGGGCATTATCCTCCCAGCATGGGGAGGCACCGCGAAGCGGGTGGTGGAGGGGCGTTCCATACAGAGGTCCCTAGCGGAAGCCCCCGTGTCAGCGCATCCGCTGCCACCTCCTGCAATACCGGGGAGGATTTGGGCTCAACGTGCCGCGATGCTGGTCGCGCCGGCCGGGCCGGCGGGCGGCCAGTTCTGCGCGCCACTTCTGGGCACCCATTCGGCTTTTTGTTCCAGCACAGCGTATCCGAGCGCAGCATCGTCACGTTGAACCGCTGCTCGCGGCCGACATAGCGCGGGAAACGCTGCTCGCCATAAGGCACCAGCTGTTGCGCAGTTCCTGCATCCGATCGACCGCCAGTTCGCCCAGATGGCCGCGCGGGTGAATACCGCCTGATGCGCGATCGACCCGGCCGTCGAGCAGAAGCCGAGCTGACCGGCGACCGACGAGAAGCTGGAATAGGTGCGCGTGCCGTATTGGTCGAGCGCCATCTGGCCTTCGCGCGCGTCTTGCTGGTCCGCTTGAAATAGGCGGCGGGGGTGTCGAACGCGCCCCTTCGGTCCGAATCGCGATCCTTCAGGATCGCGTTATAGTTGATGACCGAGGCCAGCATCGGTTCCGAACTGGCATTGCAGGGCCGCGACGTTCAGCGCCGAGCGCATGTTCCAGAGCACGCCCGCGCGCAATTCCGCCGGCGTCGCGCCGGGCAGCAGCTAACCGATGCCGGGTTCGTCGCCCGGACGGGCTTGCCCCGAAATTATAGGGTTGCAGGAAAAACTGCGCCGATGCGGGTGCGGCGGCACCATCCCCAAAACGCCACGCCGGCCGCCAGCGCGGTACGCACCACCTTCATCTCTATGTGATCCTTCCCCGTAGGGGAGCTTCAAGCGTCCCGAAACATAACGCTTTTCGGGTGCGACCCAATGAAAATCGTAACATTCATATTCCATGGCCGCCGCTTCGTTCCTGAAAAGTAACGAGATCGGTACGGCAGAACCGCCGTCGGAACGGGCCGACATGGAGGCGATGGGCGACGTCGATGCAGGATATCGCCCAAAGACCAGCCGCAATGAAAAGGCCGCCCGGTCGCCCGGACGGCCTTTCATTCATCGTGGGAATGACCCCGACGATGATTACATCGCGTTCGACGTGTTGGTCATCATGGTGTCGTTCGACATCATCATGTCGTTGCCCATGGTGTCGTTGGCCATCATGCCACCGTTCATGGCGCCGTCGACAGCGGTCATGTTGTCGGTGGTGGTGTCCATGCCTTCGGTCGCGTTCATGTCGGTGACCATGTTGGCGTCGGTGGTGTTCTCGGTCTTCGAGCCGCAAGCCGAAACCGCGAAGCGCCGCGCCGGCGATGACCGAGCCCCATCAGGACCTTGGAGATGATTGCACGCATTGGAAGCTCCCTTGATATTTAGGATTTGGAACGGCTTGCTGGCCCCAATACCCAAATCGGGGTGGACATTAATCGGATACCGCCCGGTCCTCGCCTCGTTTTGTCAGACCGGATGGAGGTTGTTGAGAAAGGCCGGAAAATTGAACGCCAGCGCCTCGTCAAGGTTTCCAACGACTTGACGCCGTTTAACGCGAAAAAGGCTGGTCACGGGGAATTCGGGTAGGCCGCATGGCACGATCCCACCGAAATGGGACAGGTCGGGCGCGATGTTGATCGCAAAGCCGTGCAACGTGACCCAGCGGCGCACGCGCACGCCGATCGCGCCGATCTTGGCCTCCAGGCCGCCATCGCGCGTCCAGATGCCGACGCGGCCCTCCGCCTGAAAGGCATGGACGCCCAACCGGGCGAGCGCGGCGATCAACCAATCCTCCGGGCTGTGGACGAAATGGCCGGACGTCGCGCCCCCGCTTGTTCGAGGTCGAGGATCAGACCGCCGGTGCTGACCCGGGCCGTGATAGGTATATTGCCGCCGCGCCGGTCTGGAACACGGGAAATGCGGATCGACCAGCTCGGACCGGATCGGCGCTGGTCCCCGCGGTATAGACCGGCGGATGTTCGAGCAGCCATACCAGCTCGCGTGCCTCGCCGGCCGCCACTGCGGCAGCGCGCGCCTCCCCATCTCGGTCAGCGCTTTGGTCATAGGGGGTCTGGCGCCGGGGCTGATGCGCCATTCGATATCGGGGATGACAGGGTCTTGGGTCACGATGGCGGCTATCTGCGCCTCGCGCCCCGGGGATGCAAGCGGCGGCGATGGCGTTGCGCGGGCGATCGGCTAGGCACCGCATGGGGTTTGATCGCGGAGGCGCGATCGCGTGCGGCAGGGAGGCCGATGACGGTCAGAATCGGATCGGTGTGGGACAGCACCCAGCAAGTGCTGGCGGGCAGGACCGGAATGCTCGCGCCCTTTGCCGCGATCGGTTTCGTTCTGCCCGTGATATTGCAACTGCTGCTGGTTCCCAGACGACCATGGCCATTATGTCCGCCGGCGCGAGCGTGACCGATTGCTGGTCACCGGGTGGCGATCGGGCTCGGCATCTGGGCGCAACTGGCGATCATGGCGCTGGCGACGCATCCGGCGACGACCTCGGCGGAGGCGTCGCGGGCCGGTCTGCGCCGGCTGCTCCCGCTGCTCGGCGTCGCGGTCGTGCTCCTCGTCTTTGCCCTGGTGGTGCTCGTGCCGTGGTCGTGCTCGGTGTCGGGCTTCGACTTTGCCTCCGCGATCGCGGCGCAGGGCAATCCGGCGCTGATGCCTCCTGATGCCCCCGGAGCCGGGCTATTCGTGATCCTGTACGGCCTGACCGCCTTCATCCCCGGCCTTCTGGGTCATGGCGCGGTTGATGCTGACCTATGCGGTGGTGCTCAACGAGCGTCGCGGGCTGGGCGCCATCCGCCGCTCGATCACGCTGACCGGGGGCATGACGTGGCGGCTGATCGGCGTGACGATTTTGTTCGTGATCCTCGTCTTCGTCACGACTGCGGCGGCACAGGGCGTCACCGCCATCGCCTTCCGCCTGATCCCCGGGCAGCGGGCATCAGGCGCTGGTGATCGGCTCGGCGAGCCTTGTCGGATCGATCGTCAGCGCGGGGTTCCTTGACCACGGCCTATGTCTTCATCGCGCGGCTCTATGTCGCGGCGGCGGTGTGCCGGTGGTCGAGGCTGCTGAGGTGACGGAGGACGGTTCGCCGACATTGTGATGGGATTGGATGTTGTTGCGACCTTGCGGGACGCGTGGAGTCTGTTCCGCCGGGACCGCGATCTGTTGATCCGACTGGGCGCGCCATTCCTGTTCTGGCCGCCGCTGGCGCTGGGGCTGCTGGTTCCGGAACCGCCCCATGCCCGCCGAACCCACCTCTGGCGATGCGCGGGCGGGAGGCGACGGCGCGCGCCATGGCGTGGTTCGATTCGGTCGGAACTTGGGCGGCCATTATGGCAGCTGGTATTTCGCGCCTATGCACTGGGCATGATCGGCTCGGCGGCCTTGTTCGCGCTGTGCTTGAGCGGTGGACGGTTCAGCGTGGGCAGGCGCTCAAACTCGCCTTGCGGGTGGCACCGCGATTCCTGCTCGCGATGATCCTGATCGCGCTGCCGGTCGGGGCAGGATGCTGCTCTATATCCTGCCGGGCCTGTACGTCGCCGGGCGATTGATGCTGGTCGGCCCGGTGCTGTTCGCCGAGCGGCGCATGCCGGCTTTGGCAGCCATCGCACGCTCGCTGGTGCTGACACGCGGCGTCGGTCTGCCGATGGCGGCTCTGGCGTCCTGTACTTCGCTGGGCGGCATGATCGCGGCCCAGCCCTTCCTGTTGCTCGCTGTCGAGTGGGCAAGGCGAATGACGGTGGGCCCATCATGATCGCCTTGCCACGCCGGGGCGGCGGCGGTGGCGATACGCCGGCACGCCCGTGCTGATCGCGATCGCGGCCTATCGCCGGTTGGTCAGCCGACCCGAGGTGGCCTTTCGGCAGAATGCCCAAGTCAAAGGGTCGGGAAAGGTCTCGATCCGCGACACCGCCTGAAACCCTGTTTTGCGATAGAAGTTGAGGGCGGCGGGTGGTCCAGCGTACAGGTATGGACCCAGACCTGATCGACCTGCGTGGTTCAGCGCGCATCAGCGCCTGCAAGCATCAGCCAGCCGCCATGGCCTGCTCCCTGCCAGTTCTGGATCAGTCCGAAATAGCTGATTCGCAAGCGCCTGGCTGCCGATGGTCGAGTTCAGCATGCCGACCTCGATGCCCGGTCGACCACCGCGAAGACGGCGACTGCAGGTCGTGGACGATCGCGGCCAGCGTGG